CCAGAGAGGGGCAATGTAAGGGGAAAATGAAGTTTGCAAAATATTTCATAGTAGGCTTTTTCTGATAGTAACTTCAGACTTACAGAAGTTTGAAAATAGTACAAAGACGCCTATATACCCATCACCCTGATTCCTGAAATATTTTACCATATTTGTTCATTATGTCTTTATTCTCCAAGTATCATATATGCCATTATATGCATATGTCACATTTTATATAGATATAAAGCGTGCATACACTGTATATATTTTTCTGAGCCATGTAGAGAGTAAAATGCAGACGTAATGTGCTTTTACTCCTAAATACTTCAGTGTGTATTCCCTCAAGAAAGGACATTTCTTCTATATAGCTATTGTACACGTCTACACTTCAAAATCAGAACATTTACACTGATACCATACTATGACATGATCTGCAGACCCTTTTCTAATATGCCAGTTGTCCCACTATGTCCTTTAGTACAAAAGAAAGAAGATTTTTTTTTCCTGGTCTAGGAGCGCATCCTTAAGCACATGTTACCTTTATTTGTCATTTCGTTTTTAATCTAGAACAGTTCCTCAGTCATTCTTTATCTTTTATAACCTTGACATTTTTGAAGAATGCAATCCATTTGTTTTGCAGAATTTCCCTTAGTTTGGGTGTATCTGGTTTTTCCTTATAAGATTCATTTTATGCATTTTTGGCCAGAATACCACAGAAGTACTATATATCTTACCAGAAAGCCGTAAGAGGCTTTTGATTCTTGCCTGCAGATGCATTTTCTAAATGATCAGTTTTAATATTATATGGAAAGCAGAGTCAGAGATTCTCACATATGTCAAGATATTCTAAGTGTTTCTCTAGTTATATTTATTCTCTAATTGCTTTTTCTCAAGAAAATGTGTGGCCTTCCAGGCAGCTTTTGCAAAGTGGAAGTTACTACATAAAATTAGGATAGGGTGTGGGGAAGAGCTTTATTAAAGCTTTAAGCTTTTGAGTATGTGTTCTATGTATGTAAATGAACATGGGCATCACAATGCAGGGATTGAGCGTTTAAACCCTTGGCCAAGAATGGTATAAATTATTTATTCTCGGAGTACTTCTGCTAAAACACTGAAATCAGTTTACTACTCTCCTTTTAGAAGTTTTACACCTTTCCAAGGCACACTTTTTTTTTTTTTTTTTTTTTTTTTTTTTTGGAGACAGAGTTTGGCTGTCACTCAGGCTGGAGTGCGTCGGCACAATCACAGGCTCACTTCAGCCTCTACTTCCCAGTCTCCAGCAGTCCTCCCACTTCAGCCTCCTGAATAACTGGAATTACAGGTGCATACCACCATGCCCAGCTGGTTTATGTAGAGATGGGGTTTTGCCATGTTTCCAAGGCTGGCCTCTAACTCCTGAGATCAATCGATCCATCCTCCTCAGCCTACCAAAGTGCTGGGATTACAGGCATGAGCCACCACTCCCAGCTTCCAAGTCAGACCCTTAAATGTAATAAACAGGAGATAAGCAAGAACCCTGCTGGACCTGGTAAAAGCAAACAAACATATATTAGTACTATTGTTTAAAATATTAGCCCCTTTTATATTCATGTCTTGTTCTTACTGCCTCTTAGAATTATCAAAAAAAGCTACTCTATAGTTTATTTGGCTTATATCTCAGCAGTAATAAGATTAGTCAACAGTATTGGCATCGTGGTTCTTTGTACATTCCTCCCTTATCCCACCCTCAAATTGATTTCAAATGGTCTCTTTCACTAGTCTAAGAATGTTTGTAGTAATTATGAAAAGTTCAGATCCTGGCTTTAACATATATAACTGTTTATCTGTAAACAAAAGAGAATGAGTTTGTTTACAGTAGAAAGACTGCAAGAGTAGTCTGGGAATTTTGCTCCATTCTTTAAAAGTCCTCTAATAAAATAAACATGTCTTGTGTTTTGTTTTTACAATGTTTTATTAAACATTAGTATAGAGTGCCACTCTTTATATTCTATATCAAATAATTAGTTACATTTTCAATAATAACCTCTAGGTAATTTGTGGCATTAAAATCTACATTATAAAATAATTTGAAGGCATAATTTATAATCACTTTTGCTAAAATCACCTATTTGAAATTATGAGGTTTTCAAAGTTTACAGTGCCTTGGGAAAAATTTAAATGTTTCTTTGCTTATATATCTTTATTATAAGCTGTAGCATATATCATGTAGTTGTCAAGGATGCTGATAGATACTTAATATTTAAAGGTGACTTGTCTAAAGTTACTCAGCTGTCCAGGACTAGAATCTGGGCCTTTTGATAACAGTTTGTTGCTCTATTTACTTAAATGATGATTGGATTCATTAGAGTTTCTCTATTTTCATAGCTGGATCCGTGGTCCTATGAAAATACTGTGTATGTGCTTATACTTATATATATACCTGTAAGTACAAAGTAGAAAATGAAAGTTCATTTTCTGCTTTTGTCAATTCTAGTCCTCAGAGATAACCTTTATTAATATACTGTCTCATCTTTGGTCACACTGTTTTCTCTGTATTCATAAGCATACTTGTGAAGTGTAATTTTTAAGCCAAAATAAATTTGCACAGTAATTTGCATATTAAAAATGCTGTTCTACACCTGGCCCCTTTTTAAAAACTGCAATATATTGTAGCCAACTTTTTATATCAGTATATATTGATCAACCTTATTCTTTTTAACTGCTGCATTATATTCCATTGCGTAAATATACATAATTTAATTCAAGATATTTCCACTGGTTTGAATTTTTCAGCATTACAAGTAATGATTCAATGAAATATTTAAGGTTTTGTGCACTTGTGGAATTAATTCCTAGAAGTACAGCCCTTATATTTTCATAGGTATTTCCAAATTGCCTTCCAAAATGCTTGTATCTCTTTACTTGCACTGTCAAGTCTAATAATTTTCACTTGGATTATCATATTTCTTATTCAGCCTATTTTTTACACTCTTAACTCTTTTTCTTTTATTTCCTTCTTTCCTTTTTTTTTTTTTTTTT